TGAGTATTATAAATGAGTAACATTTTGTTGATTTTTTTTATCGTTTAAAGATTGTTAATTTAATTGTGTTTTGTTAGTTTTTTGTTTTTTTGTATTTATTTATTAGATAGGAATAGGGTAGATTGGAAATATGGTGGTTGAGTTTTTAATTATGTTGTGTTATTGGATTGAGTGGTATTAAATGTGATAAATTCGTGAGTTTTATAAATGAGTAAGATTTTATTTATTGCTTAAAAATTATAAATTTAATGAGTTATATTAGTATTTTTTTCAGAGGCATTTATATATATAGTGTTAATTTAGATAGTTTTTTATATATTTTTATGACAGTTTCATTAATATGAATGATATGGCCGACAATATATTTTGAGTTATTTTNTGTGATAAATTCGTGAGTTTTATAAATGAGTAAGATTTTATTTATTGCTTAAAAATTGTAAATTTAATGAGTTATATTAGTATTTTTTTCAGAGGCATTTATATATATAGTGTTAATTTGGATAGTTTTTATATATTTTTATGACAGTTTCATTAATATGAATGATATGGCCAACAATATATTTTGAGTTATTTGAAAAAAAAAGAATTTGTAAGAATATTTTTAGATCATTCCTTTTGAATTTGGACAATTATTTAAGATTTTTTTGTTTATTGTATAGTGCCTTCAGACACAGGTAATGACTAGTATTTATATATATATATATATATATATATATATATATATATATATTTTGATGTGTGTACAGAGGATGATCATTATTTAATATTTTGATAATTTTTTATTGAATGTGCACACTATCTGACTTTACGTTTTGTATTATACAGGAAATTTTTTTTTCATATATAAGGAACCATAATTAGATTTAGCCAACTAAATACGATTCCTAGGACCAACTTCTTGGACAAGAGCTTATTTCATCAACAATTCATTGATACAATAGAGGAAATCAAGTATAGGAATTAGTGGCCAAGAAAAATAATGTACATCAACATTGTAGCACTTATTTTTTGACGATGACTATAGGTACTAGTGATAGCTATTGTGACAATAATGATTACATATGGTGTCACTACGATTCCTTCGGAACCACCCTCAAGGGGGGCTTTTTATTCATTGACATAACGAAATCATGCTTAGTAAATCTAATCAGATAGATGAACGGTTACCCACAAATATCAATCTTAATATCTTATACAAATTCATACCCAGTGCCCCTAGACATTCACATCTTCATCCCCACACCATCCCTCCCTCCCACATAGCCCGCCTATCCCACTCGTCTCTTCCCTTGATTCCCCACCAATCTATACTATATATAGAGAGAGTACTCAGAAGCAATTGATCGAATGAATTACAAACTTTAACAAGAAGAAAAATGAAAGCGATCCCAAAAAAAAAAAACACATCTCACTCGTTTCTAATGGGCACATAATCCGTAAGATTGCCTTCAAAATTTCGTGTGTCGATCTTGATCCGATTGGCGCTTTCCATCTCGAGCTCCGTGTTCATAGCCATCGCCACATGAGAATAGGGAATATATTGAAAGAAAGAGAATGTGAAGGTGAAATTAATCAAGTCCTGCTGTAAAACTAAAAGAAATATAGATAATAGAATTGCAAGAGATAAGAGATTAAAGAAATGCTAGAGAATTGCTCTTCTCAAGTATTTCTCAATATATTCAAAACCTCTGTTTATAGGCATCCAAACACAATGACCACCGAATACAATAATAAAAATGGTATACCAATGGATATGGGGTTATAGGCTAATGCACAAACACCCACTAATTCCTATTTACAAAAGATACTAATTAGAAGGTTAACGGTCATCCATGCTAAGATAATATGACTCGTTAAAACCTTGCTAAGAAATGCTGTGGAAAAAAATCCAACGAAGGAAAAAAAGTACATATTCAGATGAATCTTAGAATAGCGTTGGACGCACTAATGTTGTCTCATTAAAACCTTATTAGGAAAATCCAATGGGACAAAACATATATGAAGAAAAAAGAGTACAACGTGCATATATCATGTATCTCGATGTGGATACTACCCCTGATAAAATTATCCCCTACTTTTCTTCGATTTCATGACTTTGTTGGAATTCATGAGTTTAGAAGAACTTTGACGAAATATATTTGGTTCTATCATCTTTGATAGACCCTCTTTTAATTTGTGCAACAAGCAGTGTTATCTTCAAATAATGTTGTTGTTGAATCTGTAATTGAAGGGAATCTGTAAGTATCTCAGATGTGATAGACTACAAACCTTAGCGACATACATTCACGATCGTTTCATGGAATGCAAGTATCTCAAAATAATTGGAACATGTAGCAATCAAAGTTCGCTTAATAGATTGTCATGAGATCGTTGTGTCACCACATGTGAAAACATACTTAGTTTGTAAAGTATTGTAGGGATCTAATAGATATCTAGAACCGATAAAATGTGAATCATTGGCTGATTGCTTTGAGTATGATAAGCCCAAATTTGTAGTTCTACGAAGGTAACGTAGACCATGTTTTACATCATTCTAATGTCGTCGAGTTAGTGCAGAATTAAATCTTACCAACAAGTTGACTACAAATGTTATATCAAACCTAGTACTTTGTGCTAAGTATAACAAAGCACCAATTACACTTAGGTATGGTACTCAAGACCAAGAAGAATTTCATTTTTCTCCTTAAAACAAAAATGTTGACATCAAGAGATCGAACAACCATTGGAATACTTAACGGATATGTTTTATCCATGTTAAACTACTTCAAAACCTTTTTGATATAAGTTGTTTGATGGATAAGAATTTCGTTTAACATATGCTCGATCTGTAGGCTAAAACAATACTTTATTTTTTCAAGATACTTCATTTTAAATTCCTTTTTCAAATATTAAGCAACTTTTATCAACTCTTCAGGAGTTCAAATCAGATTCATATCATCAACATATATTGCAATAATGATAAATCTAGGTTCTAATTTCTTAATAAATGCGCATTGGTATATAAGATTGAGATAGTTATACCACATTCTTTTATATTGTTTCAATCCATATAAGGATCATCTCAGCTTAATTGTGTATATGTTTCATGGTTTTAATATGTTTGCTTCCGACAAACGCTATGCTTCAGGGACTTTTATATAAATATCAGTATCTAACTTTCCATATAAATATGCATTAATAATATTCATAAAAAACATGTCAAGTCCTTCTAAAACTGTTAGACTAATAAGATACCGAAATGTAATTACATTTATTACGAGTGAGTATGTTTCTTCATAATCAATCCCGGGTCTCTACAAGAACCTTTGAGCCACTAAATGTATTATATGTCACATATTTATTTTTACTTTCATATAAATATCCACCTATATCCAATATACTTTACATTTTTAAGTGTTGGACTACATGTCCAATTTAATAATATTTTATGTTTTAGAATTACATGTCTACATTTACATCTTCAAGTAAACTGGACTATGGGTCCAATATTTTGTATTTTGTTAATAGGCTCCAAGTGAAATGCTTTCTTTCACTTTGACTAATCGTTTATATGTTGACAATCATATATTGTGCATGGTTCAAGATCATCACTATTTTAGATTTTAGTAACTACTATATCATTGATGATCAGTTTTCTACGATCCCACACCTCATATATGCATGCATACTTAATAGAAATTTCTTTATTTGTAAATATATGTATCTCTTCAATGGTTTATGTCTCTTCATCGACTTTTTTCTCTTCAAGCGTTATGATTTGAGATGATGTGGATGTATTTTTATTTTTTACTTCAACAACTTTTTCTTGAGGTGTATGTAATTGCCCTTCAGGAGCTAAATATTTTGAGCCTATGTATTGACCACGCTTTAGGCATGTAAGAAAGTTCACGTCATTCTTTAGGTGTCAGATTTTCTCTCCCTAATGGCGTAAAGAGTGTCTCATTTTCCTTTTGTTTGTACATAGTTTGTTGAGATCTCATTATATTTTAGGTACTTTTTTCTCTATAGGAAATGTCTCTTCAAGAAATTTAGTTTACTAATTTTGAACTGATCAATATTTATGTTGCCTATTTGGTGGGTGTGGCTTTTTCAGGAGTGTCATTTCTTTTTCTTTGGTCTCTTCGGGAGTACCTACTTTCCCAATATTTTTCATTATTTCTTCCTGTTCTGGGAAATCTTGTCTATTGCTATGACAAGTGTTTCATGTGGAGTCCAAACAACTTGCTTGGATTACATCATAATACATTTTAATGTGATTTAAGGTGTAATTTGGGTAAATTAAACAAAGTAAGATGTCAATATGGACACAACTAAGGTTATACTACCCTCAATTAGAGTTTAATCTTATTTGACTTCAACTTAATTATTATATATTTGTGTTTAGATTTCTGAATTCATGATAAACTCAGATTATGCAACTTGAATTGAAATCCAAGTTCGATTTATAGATTCAATTGTTCAGTTACAAATGCAAGTTCGATTTATCCACTTTCAATAGTGTGATTTCCGCACTCAAACACGTGATGTATTGCTGATAAGCTAGTGCAGGCAAAGCTAAAAATGGTGGTGTAACACACTTCTCAAGTACAAATACCTGGACTTAGTTTAGAGACAATCTCATGCTTACTGTACAAAGCCACATTTAGATTGCATTTTTAGTCATCCAGCAAGGTTATGCAATACAGGTCCACTCCTGTCCTATATCTCATCAATTCTCAATGCTCAATCATGTATTTATGAATCTAAATAGGACTAAGATTATTTCAAACAGAGATGGAGTATGTTGTGTTGATGTCCTTGCACATACCTTTGGTAAAATGTAAGAATTAGTCACCAATCCACACATTTTACCGCAATTGACATCCAGCTTCTAGACAATAACAGTTGTAAAAGAAAACACTTGCTGTGAATCCACGCGCACAACACAAACGCGTGCACACACCCACACACGCATTGATAAGAAACTGTCTTTGCGTTAGTTGTGTCAAATTCTGCCCCCCCTGAGGTTTGGAATTCCTATAAATTCATCAGAATCTCTTGGCTTTATATTGAATGAGATAAAATTGAGTGAGTAAAACTGTACAAGAATTATCTCCAGTAAGCATACAGAGACCACCACCATGAATTCTATAGTGAATGGCCATGGATTTCATTTGCTTCTCAACCATCCATATTTTCTCCATTCCCTAATACTTTCTGAAGCGGGAGCTTCACAGCATATATCAGACAGTTAGTAGAGAGATCTGCACGAAAGCCACAGAAGGTCCATAGAACACCAAATGTTTCCCATGGTGATAAAATTTGACTACACCCTGGTGGAAATCATTGATGAAAATCGTGCCACCTGAAAGCGGCATGTTTTTCACTCAAAGATCACCTGCCATTTCCCCCATAGTGCAGTAGCGATTCTCGTTGTCCATTGTCAGTACAGGCCTTTTTGGTCTTGGTCTTGTCAAGACGGGCTTTGCGGACAGCATACTGGATTTTCCTCTCATGCTCTTTAAGCATTTCATCGATGTTACCACCAGAAGGAAGCAATGGTCCAGAGTAGTGGATTCGATTCTTCTTTGGAGGATACCCCTGCAATCAAAACCAAAATAGTTAGTTGAATGGTATTTAAAAAGCAGGAAAAGTAATCTTAATATAAGTAAATGCATTTTTGTGGTCATCCATAAATAAATGCATCAAGTTTGTACAAAATCAAAACCCCTGTGGAATGCTGAAAATTCTATAGTTCCTAAAAACATTTAAACTCCAGAAGTGAACTGCTAAAGCGGCTCAACAACATGCTATACACTTCAATTCTTGCAAGTTGCAAGCCAAGCATGGTTCAGAACTGCAAGTAGACAGTAAAAAAATTTCAGCGAAACTTGTAAAGAAACTGCACAAATATGAACCCCCCACCAGATGGTAACTTTTTGTATAGTCTATAAACTGATATATCTACTAACTTTGAGACAGTTTTCCTAGGTCTCCCTTGATATATGGTCCGCCACTTGACTTTTCTCTCATGAAAACTCCACGCAGATCTAGAGCAAAAGGAAGAATTTTTCTTTGACCTTTTTTGTATTGGTTATTATTAATATTTTTTGATAAGAAACAAACTTTTCATTGATAAGAACCAAAAAAAAAAAGTGTAAGCAAGGGGATGAACAAGTAGTCCAACCCTCATACATAAATAAAAAGAGGCAAAAAACAAAAACCAAACAGCCATCAAAAGAAAATTATCTCCCACACGACACCATCCAACATGTATTGGTTATTTTTTTAAGGACTGCTTACTTTAAGTTTATAAATGTAAAGGTTTTAAGGAAGAGTTTGAGATTCTTTACCATAGTCCACTCCTTGCCAGGTGCCTGCTCATCCTTCTTATAAGAAGAATTTGGTCTACCAAGCAACTGATGGGAGGACTCGGCATCACTTAGCTGGTATCGTGCCCCTGGCCAATGTGAATGGACACTTGGTTCTCTGCTATGGTCAAACCGTGAACTGTCATGAGCTGCCACTGAACTTGAAAACCTGGACAATTGGGCTGCTGCTCCCTGAGATTTATAAGATCTCTGGGTCCTCAACTCTGCACTATTTCTTGAATAATCAAATGCTCGTTGAGAATCCATTGGCCCCCCAGCTTCATTCACACTGAGAGAAGCTCCAAATGCAGCAGATTGCATCGATTGGCCATAGAGGAAACCATTTTGTAATGATCCTCTGGAAGGTTCAATAGGGAAGCCAGAACCACCATCTTCTTCAGGATTGTATTTTTCACTGCTGCTTTTAGGATTTGATTTCCCTTGCCACTTCTGAAAGCCACAAAGATAAATTACTATGCATATATCACACTCCACATAGGTGCATATATAATATGAAGTTAGAAGTCATAATGTGTGTATGCATCCCCGCACATGTATGTTGCCATAAGCATTAACAGAATATAAACTACCTGTATTGACACCTGCAACTCAGCATTAGCATCAGGTGCTGGCCCAGCTTTGGATTCTTTGGAACCCTTTCTATAAGAGTCAAGTCCCCCTCCTTTACCGCCTGCTGCTCTTTGCCTAGCATCATGGGGGGGAAAAATGCAGTGAGATTAGGAAACAAAAGCACAAAACCACTCTCTGACGAGTTCGATGGCAAATTCATCCTTGTACAGGGAGCTCAAGAGTGTCCCTATCAAGAATTCTCCCTTGTACAAACCAAAAGTTTAGAGTGAAATTAATTGAAGGGCGAGTACACTACATACATCACAGCCTAAAATCATGAAACAATTCTGTGAACTACAATCACTACGGAATTTATGGAACTTTTAAGTGACCTACATGCATTTTAGAAGTTTGATTCATGCCAATTCACTATAGATTTTTGACTGTATAACACATAGCACATGCAATTTGCAATAATGTCGCCATTTATAGTTCTTTCTACTGTTAATGGAAATGCTCAACCGCATATCGACAAATCTAAGGTATAAGAGTAAAGTTGAAATAATGTCAAAGCAGGAAATGTTCACCTTCTTGCTTCCTCATCTCGAAGCTTGGCATCAAATTCCTTGCTTGGTGGGTACTTGGGCAAGCTCGAGGGGTCACAGGGAAGAGGCTTTGTCGTGAAGAACTGAAAAAGAAGACTTACAAATTAGGTATATAACTCCTAGAAATCAGCAGAAGGAAATCAAATCCCCTCCCTTCCCAAAAAAAAAAAAAGGCACCAATGACTGTAAACATTAAATGGTTAGATGTATCCTATTCCTACCATCAAAGTGTGAAGGGGAAAACTCCTAAGCTTGAATGTGTTTTGATCCAATCAACAAGCCATAACTGAGCAAATAAACCCTAGTGGAGAAGTGAAGCATACAAGATTTCATTATTCCAAATACCAATGACATTTCAAGACATAAGGAGGGCCAACTCCAGAGACACTTCTTGATTAAGAGATTAGACGGTGATGCAAAGGTTCCAGGCTAGATATCATTGACGATGCATTACACAATTTAAAAAAAACAAAGAAAAAAAGACAATTGAAGGAGATAACATCGGACTTGAAAAATAAATACCCAATTAAGATGCCAAAATGGATAAATATGGCTACATCAAATTCAACGTTTACCTCACTTTGAAGTGCAGAAGTAGTTGATCCCCGGTTATCTGGTTCAACTGCAAGGAGGACATCCAAAAGTGCTAAAGCCGAAGAAGGGAAGCCCTTGAATGTTTCTAGAACACAGCGTTTGTAAGGTTGTTGAGGTTTGAAAATAGTCGCATGTGGCAATTTTGATTTTTTCCAGTACTCTTCAGATGGTGAACCACAAAGTTTGAAAATTTTATGCAGTTGTTCCACCTACATAATGTGAATGAGAGGAGGTAAGGGAAAAATTAAATTTACGTCATTTACAAACCCACAACACACTTCATTTATCCTACATTTCATAATAAAGGTTATTTATCGAAAAATAGAGAGCATACTAAAAAAAAAATAAGTTAACCAATTAACAATCCTGTTAACAACATCTTGAAGTCTACACGAATACTATGTTGTGCAAGGATAATGTAATGGACCCCATAACAAACATAGGATAAGCAAAACATCAATCCGTCTCATCAATTTGATTCCTATTGTTTTGAAATTTGAACAAACCAACTTCTAAACAATAAACAGACTACAATGACTACCCGTATTAATAGTAAGTGAATCTCTATATTCCAATTAGAAGATCCAGTTTATTATTATTATTGTATAATGTATATAAGCCGAAAACGCCCTAATGCTGTTCCATCCATACAAGATCCTCAGTGAAGAAGGATGATAGGAACCTGTAGCTTGGATGACAAGGCTTTAGTGACTAATACGTGGAGTTCCAAGCTCAATTATACCAAGAGATGCTACCTGACGTGCTTGATCTATGCATGATTATGCACAAATTACGTTTACATAGCAGCCACAAGTTCAAAAAGCGCGTGGTTGAGATGGTTCTGGGTTATAGTAACAAAGAGAGTGCAAGGAGAAAAAAGAAAGTTTCACGTATTAACTTCATAAGTTACTAAATGTAAACCTCACCTAGTACTTTGGAGAACTTAAGAACCATCAAGTTGAGAAGATACTGATATTCTGTTGATATAAAATATTCTAAATTTAAGAGTCTTATGACTAAAACAGTAAACGTTATAGGACCTAATGGGTTTCCCATTTGTTGTCCCATTCTCCCCCTTCCATCATTGAAGATGATGACACAGTCTTCTTTGGTTTTTCCAGTGAGATCTTTTACCACTCTTTTGAGAAAGAGAGACACCCTTCTAGAGAGCACAATTTTTTTTCATCTGGACATTGCTTACTCCTTTTACCCTTCAATATGGAATAGCTCTCTCTGTCTCTCTCTCTCACACACACACTCTCAAACACAAACACACACACCCACACCCCAAACATATTCACACATTAATTTAATACATTAACAAAAAAAGAAAAAAAAACACCAACATCATTTATTAAAAGTATATCCAACGTAGAGTACCTCTGTCCTTCCAGGCATGATAGGCTTCCCCGCATATAATTCTGCAAGAATGCAACCAGCACTCCACAGATCAACAGCTACTCCATAATCTGTAGCGCCAAGCAAAAGCTCGGGAGGTCGATACCACAAGGTAACTACGCGACTTGTTAGAGGCTGCTTTTGATTTGTCCGGAAAAATGTTGCCAGGCCAAAATCACCAATCTTGAGATTTCCGTAGTTGTCAATCAGAAGGTTTGAGCCCTTGATGTCACGGTGCAGGACCCCACAACTATGACAGTGTTCAAGTCCACGTAGCAGCTGCTGCATGTAACATTTGATCTGCAGGCCCATTACATGATATCCCAAATAAGAAGTTAGAAGGTTAAAGATTGAATCATTTAGGCAACCTTTCAATTACAACTATCGACATGAAACGGATGGCTAATTATTATACAATGCATGTAGAATTATAACAGGTAGTACATATAAAATCATAATAAACTTGCAGAGCCAACACCGGCCTATCTTCCAGATGATAATTCAATTAATCAAAAAGAAGAAAATTAGTGTCACCCTTTTCATTACATTTAGCTATAGATCAATTATGACAAACTAGGTGTGCTCCAGTCAGAATTGCTTCAATCCTATTCCCATTTCTGCTCCATAATGCCGGATACAACATTACTTCATGTTAACCTAATACAACGGTAAACAATCAAAATATTATCATACTTAAGATGGCAATGGAAACTATTTAGACTCTTAATCATTGACATCCTTTTCAAATAAGACCAAAGGAATCTCAGAAGAGTACATCCATAGACAACATAGATCTGGATCAATCTACGAAGGGTGCACATGAGCTGAGTACCCCCTATTTATGATTCCCTTACCTTCGGAGAGGTTTCAATCACAATTGACTAGATCCTTGGTCATACTCAGTCAATTATGTTTGATCTTGACGGGGTAAGAACAAGGCTGATTGAGAGCAGCTAAGGTCAAACATTCAACAATCCAACTACTAAGAGCATGGTTACCACAATTCACTAAACTCTTGAAGATCCACGACCTGGGTATATCAATCCCAAACATGGTGGGTTCTCGATCTAGATTACTAAAATGGGTAACCCCAAATTGTAATACTAATCTTAAATCAATTTGCTTTAGAACATGTAAAACAAATATAAAATACATATTAATTGACTACATGTATATAAATTTATAATTATATATTATTTTAGATAATAGAAAATCAAACACAAGATAAATGGTAACTAACTTAGTGTTTATGGATATTCTATAATATATAATGTTATATAATAGGGAAAACGATATGCATAAGAGTTCCAAAACAAATTGCAATCCAAAATATTGTACTAACTAAGTCTACCCCCACCTTATTGCATATCTAAGAAAGTGTCGTACTATGTACCCCGCACTCATACCACTACCAAAGCGACCTACAATCCAGATAACATTGACTAAGAGAGGTTTAAGATTAGTGGTCCTAGAGTTGTGAATGAATGTGGCCACTGAGTTGTGAATGCTTTTGTGACAGGGCATTAGGGACACAATAGTTTAGACTTTAGATGCACATATGAACCCCTAATTTGTTAATGGAATTGCTGAACTCGTTTGACATAATTCTTGAAGATATGGTTATGACTTATATGCGTCAACACTATGGGTGTGAGACAGATGGGATGAAACTGCAATTAAGCACACCTATTGGGTCTGGGCTACCGCACAGTTTAATGTGCTAGCTTTCAAATCCTCAACAATTTTTTTTTCTGCAAATTAGGCCCTTTATGTTCATAAGCCTAACCAGCTAAGGTTTCTTTCACTTGAGGTTGGATTTGCTATCACCCAAGCTCATACATTAGTGAAATACTACAATTTGGGGTGAAGTGAGGACATCCACTTCTACTGCCAAAACCAAATTATAACATCTCGAATGCCACTCCTAAGCAAAACAAAACACCTGAACAAAATAAAGAAATCCACTTTGCCAGTTGGCTTGTACCAAGAAACACAAAAGTATAGTGGAATGCTATCTCTGTGTATATTATAAGCAATAAGGCTACTTTTATTGCAGTATCACACCAATTTTTTCCTGTTGTTGATGTCTTTTGATACCCCAAACTGCAAGAAAAAAGCACACACCTGTGATTCAGTAAACTTAATCGACGGTGATGCTGCAAGCCCAGCAAGATCATGCTCCATGTACTCAAATACAAGGTATAAATTGCCCGAAACCCTTGAAGTGACGAGACCTTCAAGCTTCATGACATTTGGGTGATCCAGCCGACGCAGAATAAGGATTTCCCTTGCCATAAAACGAACACTTTCTGGATCCATGTTAGCAAAGCGCACTTTCTTCAGTGCAACTATTTTTCCAGTTTCAAGGTCGCGTGCTCTGTAGACACTACTGTAAGTCCCTTGTCCAATCTGCATTATTGGCATGTCAGATGTTACCACCAAAGGAATTTATACAAAATAATTATTAAAAAAAAAAAAAAAACACAGGCATTGACCTACAAAATGAAATAATTCGAAAACAAATGCCTAACAAATTCAGTTAGAAAAGTTAAGGACGAAAATAATATCAATTTGCACACCAAAACCCAATTATCCACGACTAAATTTGGAGCTGAGCACTCATCACATATAATATCTCAGCCAACCCATGCCACAGAATGGAATGGGGAGGGGGTGATTTTACCAACCATGTAAGAACAGCCCCATGTACATATATAGTAATTTCAATATGTTACATCACAACAATCACGTAATCCCTTCAGACCACCATTCATGTGATCCAATTTTAGAACTTCTTTTAACTTCCATTTGAGTCACGGTTTAATTGGCAGTTCATCCAATTGCTGACCACATATAAAAACAGGATCTTGTAAATTCAACCGACATATACAAGCAGCCACCTTATTGTCCAGAGTAGAAGGATCTCTATTGGCATAATCATGTTGTCTAATGGCAGACACATGACACATCACAGGCAATTTAAATCATTTGTGGGCAAATGTGCATGAGAACTGTTAACCATGGAAAGCAACATACTTAAAATTAGTTCGTTCAACTCACATGCAAACACGCGAAAGCGCTACTTCATTTTAACTGAATTCTATATGACTGGGTATATTAGCTCTAAACCATATGAAACCACATGCCTGAAATGGTTCTTTACACAAATACGGAGATACACGTGCATAAAGAGCAGCCCAATATATAAGGCTCTCACAGTGGTGTCTGGGGAGGATCACTGCAGGTTAAAAATGACAAAACATGAAACTGAATATACCATGAGTACCAACAACATAAATTAGAAACAAAATGTGCAATATGAAGGAAACATTATAGGAACAAAATGTAAAAAATTTTTGAATTTTAGTAGACCTTGTCCAACTTCTCAAACGAATCTGCCTTTCGGGGCACCCAACCTTTGATAGCTTCCCCTGCTACTGCAGTCAACCAAGATGGCCAACCAGCAACTACTTGTGCCCCATCAACCCCATTGCGAATACTAAACACCCTAGACACCTGGGGTTGTCCTCCACTCATCCCAATATCCATTGTTGCACTTCTTTGAATCTGAGATGCTGCGGTTTTCTCCACAACCACAGCCTTCTTTTCCCCCTCAATCCGGGCCTCCGGGGGAGTGGAGCCTGCACTCTTTTCAATGGGCTCCATTGATATAAGCCTGGTGGTTGCATCATTGGCACCACCGTCAACCTCCACTACAACTTCCTCTTTTCTTGAGGAAGCAATTGCACGTTTTGCTGATTTTTTTGAACTTTTCCTTTTAACATGACTCTTTCCAGAAATTCCTTTCGAACAAATGCAACCCATAATATGCAATTTCACAGTCCCCTGTCTCTAAACAGGAAACTGTGTAATTCCCTCTGAATTCAGATAGCTAAACCCAATTTGAGTTGTTCAAATTCTTGGGGCATTAAATCATCAAACTGATTGAACCTCAAAACTCAACTTCATAAATGGGTCGCAATTTAAAGATTTTCAAGCTTCAAATTCAAAATGCACCATTCAATGGAGATACCCCTAATCCAAAATCAGATATACCAAGAGGGTGTTAACAAAAAAATGAATCTGCAAAGAACCCTGATCCCCAAATCCAAAGAATTTAATCAAAACCAACCCATGTTGACAGAAATCCAGAATACAATCATTGCATCACCGACAAAAAGGAATTTTGGGGTACATCAAACGCCAAGAAAGTAGAGATTAGACCAGAAATTGAATCAAAATGTTCAAATTTGAAGCATGAACTCTGGTTGGGCGAGGGTTTCCGGCAAGTTTCTACAAACAATTGGCCAAACCAATCGATTTAATTCAGATCCAACGTTCGATATCAAAGCAGAACAGAAGAGAACATCCAAAAGAATTTGTTTTCCAAAAAATAAAACCGGGCTTTGAAAATGGCGTTGTGCATTCCAGGGAGAGAGAGAGAGAGATTTTCGGATCTGTGGGTGCCCTGGAAATGCGAGCGACCAATCATATGCATTTTTTGGTCAGAAAAAAAGAATTCATAAATGGGTCGCACCTCAAAAAAACACAACTCAAAGAGATCTTCATTCTTAAGTTCTGTTTTGTTACAAGAGAGAGAGTGATAGCGTGAAGAGGAAGGAATGAATACGGCTATGGGGAATGCGTCCACTCCAAACTTCTGCGTAACGCCGCACGAGTAGGGAGACAAGTTCCTCTTACTGACACGTGGCAGAGGTGGGGAAGTGTCTCTGTTGTCTGGGCCCCACGTAATATATTCCCTCCGCTTGGTCAGAAGATGACAATGAATATATTTTCTTCGTTATAATATGAGTACGCTAGCAATAAATAATCTTATGTTTAAAAAGATTTTATAATATTAAAAATCGAATAGTAATTTTATAAGATACGAAATTTATTTTTTTTCTATAATCACACAATTTAAAATTAAATAAATAAAAAAGAGATAAGCGAGATAGAAGAGATATATGGATGAAATTACCGTTTAATAAAAATAATTTTTTTAAACTGGTAAAAAAAATTGTGATGAATTTTTTTTTATTATTAAATCAATGTGACCGATATTGTATTTTTATAAATTAAAAATTTAATTTTTTTAGCTTAGATAGGGAGTACCAAGAATATTAATTGTTTTTGAAAAACTTTTGCTTACACCCCCTACCATTTGGTTTAATTACATACGGACCCCCTTATATTTTAAAATTGTCATTGAGACCCCTAAATATTTGGAAACGAATGACACGAACACCCCTTTCTTCTAACGGACGTCAAAACAAGTAACGAGAAATGATGATCTCATCAACAAAATGTAATATAATATCCTTCCTATAATTTGAGAGACTAAATCAATTTAATAAAATGACAAGTCTACCCTTCCACATCACTTATAATTTTGACAAATAATGATACAACAACTCAATTCTATTTATTATAATAATCTAATTCACTTAATTATATAAATAACAATAAATCTAAATTTAGGAATAAAATAATTTATTTTAAAGAAATCTGGTGCATTAATTAAGCTAATTTATTTCAAAAATAAGACCATATAAAATATATTCTAATATTTAAGCGCATGTTTTACCATAATTAATTCAAAATTCGATTAATTCCCAAAATATTTAAATTAATTCACTAAATCTAATCAATTCGTGAGATCAAATTCACATCCAATGAATTCTCATAGTAATTACGATTCGAAAAATAACCAACTTTCTCGATATAATAGGTTGTCTATGTTAAGCTTACCTAACACATACTCAAATCAAATATAATCTACTGTTTGTACCATGAATTAAGCCAATTGTATTGCACTGCCACCCTCCAATCCCATCGACCACCACCATCTATACAGTGATTGAGAGAGAGAGACCATCGCCTCCACCATCTGAAAGCCCACCACCAACACAATCGGTTCCACCATCCATAACTTACCACCTCTACCATGTAGGATCCCAAAATAATATGAAGCACTTAAAAAATATTCTCACACACAAAATAATTAATCAAGAAATATATCAAGAACGAAAAAGAACTGAAGAAGACGAAAACCAAACATCAAAGTCAAAAGTATTCTTCCATTAAAAACTTAGCCGAACGGTTCTACCACGACAAAGCATAAAGACTCAGGGTATTAACCACCAACCAAACTAATAACTAATAAACTAATCCTAAACTAATTAGAATATTACATAAATCAATAATTCTAAACCCATTAAAAGTTTAATTACAAACTAATACCAAATAAATAAGGAATAAAATATTTGGAGAGTTTGGGTCAAAATCCAACAGTCTCCCTTGAACCAAATTTTTCGCTCTTGATTATCTTCATCATCTGCTTAAGCTTCATGAATGCATCAGATTTAAGTGGCTTGGTAAAAATATCTCCAATCTGATCATCGGATTGACAATACAAAATTTCAATCTCACAATTAATAACCAAGTCACGAATATAATAGTACTTGACATGAATATGTTTGGTCCTCCCATGAAAAACTGGATTCTTTGATAAAGCAATAGCTGAATTGTTATCACAGAAAATCTTTGAAGGAATTTTCTGTGCATGCTGCAAAAATTCAAGCATACGACGCAACTACACTACTTGGGTAGCACAACTGATGGCTGCATTATACTCTGCTTCAGTGGTAGAAAGAGCAACAACTTGTTGTTTCTTTGAAGACCAGGGAAAAATTCTTGAACAAATTTGAAAACAATACCATGAAATACTTTTGATTTTTTTCACATCACCACCCCAATTATTATCTGTATACCCTACAAGTTCACAAAAACCAGTAGGAGAATAAAAAATACCATCACTATGGGTGCCTTTAACATATCTCTGAATCCTTTTAGTTGCTTGTAAGTGGGATTAACGTTGAAACTCCATGTATCTGTTGATAAGACCAACTCCAAAAACGATATCAACTCTAGTGGAAGTCAAATAATGTAGACTTCCCACCAACCGTTTGAAATATGTGGAATTCACCAATGCACCATTCCCATCTTTAGACAATTTCAGTCTTTCTTCAACTAGAGTCAAAATAGGATTACAAGAATCCATTTTGAACCGTATAAGGATATCCCAACATACTTTTGTTAGAAAATAAAAATCTCACAATCTATTTGATTAACCTCAATCCCAAGAACATAGGACATCAAATCCATATCAGTCATCTCAAATTGGGAAATCATTGTCTCCCTAAATTTCTCAATTAATTTCAAATTATTTCCTATAAAAATAAGATTATCCACATACAAACACACAATAATAATATCACCCTGAGAATTAATTTTGACATACAAAGTGTGTTCGTAGGAACATCTCTGAAAATTATTTTTCATAAAATAAGAATCAATCTGAGTATACCAAGTTATATGGGCTTGTTTAAGCCCATACAAAGTCTTTTTCAACTTATAGACTTTATTTTCCTTCTTTTTATTCACATAACCAGCAGGTTGCTCAACATAAACTTCCTCCTCTAAGACACCATTCAAGAAAGCAGATTTCACATCCATTTGAAAAAAATTTCAAAAATTATTAGTAGCAAGAGAAATAAGCATACAGATAGTATCAAGCCTAGCAACAGGAGCAAAAACCTCAAGATAATCAATACCTGGTTTTTATTTGTAACCTTTGGCTACTAACCTTGTTTTGAAGTGATCCACCTCCCCATTTGGCTTTTATTTGGTCTTGTACACCCATTTAACTCTAATAACTTTTTTTTTTGCTTGGGAAGAGAAATAAGCTCTCATGTATTATTTTTCTCGATGACATGAATTTCTTCATTCATTGTTTTCACCCAATGTTTCTCCCTACAGGCATCACTAAAAGAAACAGGATCACAATCTGCATATCAAGCAAATTTTATTAAATCCTTATTTGAAGAGTCACTGTCAGTGCCAATAACATAATCCTCCAATCTAGCTGGCATGTGTCGTTCACGTTGTGAACGCCTAGATGACTCTCGCTGTGGGGATTGAACAACTGGAGACTGTTCAATTGGCTGATCACCAACTGAATCATCAATTTCAAAAAGAACAAGTATGGCTAACTTGTCTTCCTTTTGGGATCAATCCCTGCTCATCAAAAGTGACATCTCTACTAATAATCATTTTTCCTATTATGGGATTGTAAAACTTGTACGCTTTTGTAATTGAATTGTATACAATAAAAATACACTTTTCAGCCTTGTCTTTAAGTTTTTTTCCTGAGTGGGTAAGGAACATAGGCATAGGCAATACAACCAAACACCCTCAAATGTTGAATACCTGGCTTCTGACCACTCCAAATCTCATTGGGAGTTTTTCCCTTAAAACTTCTGGTAAGGGACCTATTCAAAACATAAACAGCACAAGCAACAGTTTCTGCCCAAAAATTTTTAGGCATATTTTTAGATTTTAACATGCATCTAACCATATCCATAATAGTTCTATTTTTCCTCTTTGTCATACCATTACGTTGGGGAGTATTTCTGACTGTCAACTGATGCTTAATACCATAATCTCCCAAAAAATTATCACAAACCTCAAAACCTTAATTTTTTTCCCACTTTTCCTTTAAACATAAGCCTTAAAATATTTAAATGTACCACAGGTATCAGATTTATTTTTCAAAATATACACACAGGTCTTTTTGCTAAAATCATCAATAAAGGTAATAAAATATTTGGCTTGTATTTGGTCTTGTACACCCATTTAATTCTAATAACTTTTTTTTCTTTGGGAAGAGAAATAAGCTCTCGTGTATTATTTTTCTCAATGGCATGAATTTCTTCATTCATTGCTTTCACCCAATGTTTCTCCCTACAGGCATCACTAAAAGAAACAAGATCACAATCTGCATATAAAGCAAAATTTATCAAATCCTTATCTGAAGAGTCACTGTCAGTGCCAATAACATAATCCTCCAATCTAGCTGACATGTGTCGTTCACGTTGTGAACGCCTAGATGACTCTCGCTACGGGAATTGAACAACTGGGGACTATTCAACTGGCTGATCATCAACTGAATCATCAATATCAAAAGGAACAAGTATGACTNTCCATATCAGTCATCTCAAATTGGGAAATCATTGTCTCCCTAAATTTCTCAATTAACTTCAAATTATTTCCTATAAAAATAAGATCATCCACATACAAACACACAATAATAATATCACCCTGAGAATTAATTTTGACATACAAAGTGTGTTCGTAGGGACATCTCTGAAAATTATTCTTCATAAAATAAGAATCAATCTGAGTATACCAAGTTATATGGGCTTGTTTAAGCCCATACAAAGCCTTTTTCAACTTATAGACTTTATTTTCCTTCTTTTTATTCACATAACCAGCAGGCTGCTCAATATAAACTTCCTCCTCTAGGACACCATTCAAGAAAGCAGATTTCACATCCATTTGAAAAAAATTTCAAAAATTATTAGTAGCAAGAGAAATAAGCATACAGATAGTATCAAGCCTAGCAACAGGAGCAAAAACCTCAAGATAATCAATACCTGGTTTTTATTTGTAACCTTTGGCTACTAACCTTGTTTTGAAGTGATCCACCTCCCCATTTGGCTTTTATTTGGTCTTGTACACCCATTTAACTCTAATAACTTTTTTTTTTGCT